CCGGGCCTTCCTCTGCGGAACGTGGTCGGTGCGCGTCGCTGCCGCGTGGTCGCGCTGCTGCGCACATCTGTGATGTTCAATCCCTGCCCGCGCTGCGGGACTAGGACTAGGCGCTGCGGGCTGCCTCGGTGACAGCGCCCAAGCAACGACTCCTGCTCGTTCGTCCGCTGGCCACGCTCTCAAAACTGCGTGACGCAAATTGTCCATTCATCTTGCATACCCCGTCTCCGTGTCCTCTCTCTTTTACCCCCCATGTTATACATTTCCTGTGCCTACCTCCATATTTCTTTTTGGTATCTACTCCCACTCGGCCACCTGGCCGGCCGATGACGCGACCGGATCCGAGCCCTCCCATCCGACCCTCAAAAACGAAATCAAGTCCATGTGCTTCGTCTCGAGATGGGCATTCCGTCGTCCATGGTGCAAAATGCCTGGCAACTGCAGTCGGACCATGACAGAAGAAGAATGTCCCCCAAATCAAGAAACCATCCTCTGGTCAAGACCCACAGAACATCCAAGGGTTCCCTCCCAGCATGCACACGAACGTCCATCGAACACGAAGAAAAATCAGGGAGCCTCCCCGAACCGACCTCGATCTTATACCTCGGTCTGGCTGTACGGGCCGGGGCGCGCGTCCGGCGCGAAAGGCCGACATGTCGCTCTCGCCCCAGCGCCCGGCCCACTCTTCCAGAGAGTGGCGCTCCCGCTCGGGCGCGGCGCACGCACTCCTCGCACGCAGTTGGGCCGACGCGCGCGCGGACGGAAAACGTCGCTCTCTCATCACTGCCGCGCAAAATTTCGCCCGAGAGTGGCCTTCCCGCACCGACGTCGCCGTGGCGCACACTCGTCCCTCGCCCGTGCTGGAGGGCCCGAGCGGGCGGTCGACTCGTTGCCCTCGCCCATGTTCCGTGCGAGTGTTGGTCGGGAGTGGCGTTCCAGCGCGGGCGCGGCGCGTGGCTCGCTCCCCGAAGCGCACGGCGGCGACGGCGGCAGCGGGGCCGCGCGAGGCGCGGGCGAAGTGCCGACCTCGCCGGAACGCCGCGCGGGGTGTCTGTGAACGCGGCCGTGCTGCCTCCTCCTCCTCCTCCCCCGCCTCCTCCTCCTCCTCCTCCTCCTCCTCCTCCTCCTCCTCCTCCTCCTCCCCCGCCTCCTCCTCCTCCTCCTCCTCCTCCTCCTCCTCCTCCTCCTTGTCAGCGCGGCGCATGCTTCGTCTGCGCCGCGCCCATCGGGAGTTTTGCCGCTCCCGCCCCTGCGCGGCCCGTGTCGCATTCTCCCCGCAGACTCGTCCGAGGCGAGACCGCGCGCGAGCGGCTTCCGTGTGCGAGGCGGGAGCGCGCTCCAATCCCAACAGCAAGTTGTGCCACAAGTGACTCTGATGTTGCGGGAGGGAGGCTGGGGGTTGGCGGGGCCCTCTAACTCGCTCGACATGGCTACCCTGACTCCGACCCTCACTCATGCTGTGCTGCCAGGATAGGGCCCCGCAGCCTGAGGAATTCCATCATGTTGTGGCTGTGCAGGGCCTCCCTTTGGACCTCGTCGGGCCTCTCTAGTCGGGTTCCTATGAGCCTGCTGAGCATTCATGTGGCCTCTCTGGATGTCTTGATGGCCTCTTGGGTTGGGTCGGGCATGTCCCCCCACAGGCGGATGTTGGGCGAACATTCTTTCAAGCTCTAACAATAGTCCACAATAGTCCCAAGTAGGAAACAAAATCGTCCCCTGACTATTTTGGGACTATGTCTGAACAGTTCTCCTGCGGAGGGACACGCCCGACGGAGCTCCTGGGCCGCTCTTCGAAGTCGTGGGCCCGCCTTGGTGGGTCGCCGGCAGGCGGCGTTCTGGAGCCGCTGGCCCCCCCCGCCCCATAGCTGGCCGGGCGTGCCCGGGGCTGCTCCCGCACACGCTGCCTCGAGCAGTGCTGCCAGGATGGCGTGGGGCTTCAGCCTCGCACCCCACAGCTCGCTGAGCAGCGACAGTGCCTGCAGCCACTGCCCGCCTTTCCCGAAGGAGCTGATCGCAGCGTTGTAGCTGATGGCGTTGGGCTCCAACGTCGCCTCCCGCATCTGGCCGAGGACCGACAGTGCCTGCTGCCACTGCCCTCCTTTCTCGCACGCGCTCATCGCAGCGTTGTAGCTGATGACGTCGGGCTTCAGCTTCGCATCCCACATCTCGCCGAGCAGAGACAATGCCTGCTGCCACTGCCCTACTTTTCCGCAAGCGCTTATCCCTGCGTTATAGCTGACTAGGGTGACTCGGGAGTTCAACACAAAAACAAGGCACGCAGATGTAGACTGTTTCCAGGACGCCTGCCTTCAAGGGAGGATCCAGCCACGGGAATACGAAACTTGCGAGGTCCCGCTTGTGCGAACCCAGGTCTGCTTTGGGAGCGTGCACGGGACGGGCGGGGGAGACGGCGGAAGGAGAAAGGACGAGGGAGGAGGGATGGCCATGTTTCCACAGACTACATCTTCCAGCCTGGGCTCATGGAACGTTGTTCCTTTCTAGCGCTTCACTGGAGAACTTCAACAACGGCTCTCAACAAACAAAAACGACTGGGCTGGACTTGGAGCCCTGCGCCGCCCAGTCTGGCAGCCCTCTCGCGCGAGACCGCCTCACAACTCATTCGGGGATCGTGCTCTCGCCTCGACGCCAGACGCACGCCTGGTCTGGGCGGCCACGATCCCTTTGCAAAGGAGCGCGCCAACGTGCAGATGGCCATGCTCTCGGCTCGTGCCTCTCGCCTCGTGCTCTCGCCCTGGACGGCCACAGTATCCCTTGCAGCAGAAGCTCCAGGTGCGCATGGCCGTGCCCGGACCCCTGCCCCGGCTGCTCTCTGCCCCTGTCCCGCATCTTCACCTCTACTGACGTGTGGGCGCTCTGCTTGCGCAACGTCCCAAAACCACCACCTTCCACCTGGCGGCGGTGGTAGGGCGACACAATCTATACATATCCACTGCTCCCTGGCCAGGCCCATCCTGAACACAGGAGCTGTGTATACGCCAGGCCCTCCTGGTTTGGCCAGGAGGGCGTATACACAGCTCCTGGGTTCAGGATGGGCCTGGCCAGGGAGCAGTGGATATGTATAGATTTCGTCCCCCGAGGTGGACAAACCTCCCTTTAGTACACCTCCCCTTCGTGAAAACGGCCTGGGACCGAAAACGACGGGCCCGGGACCGCAAAAAAATATGACGGCCGGGGAACTTTTCCTGAGCGAGTCGCGGCAGCGGCTCCGGCGACACGCTGTGCCGTGCGAGGCGGGTGGCGCATCGCTCCGCTCCGCGTGGCGGGACACCGGAAGAACACTCGAGTTTGGGCGTGGCTCAATGGGGGGGTCACAAATGGGGGGGTCAAAAACGGTCCCCTTTCGTGCCCCTTTCGGGCCCCTCCGGAGCCCCAGGGGGCTCGTTTAGGCACCGTTTGGGTACCTTTTCGGACCACCCTCGCCACCCCCCCAGTTATGACCCCCCCATTACGCAGCGCCCAACGAGTGACTGACGCGGGGAGACCGGGACGTGGGTCTCGTGTCGCGCCGAAGCGTGGTGGGCCAGGATCGGCGCTGCGACACGCGAAGCGAGGGTTCCTCACCATGTCTGACACGTTCCGGTGCACAACTTTTGCTCTGCGAGCCTCAGGAATCCCACGAGATCTACACGACAACAGGGTCAACCAACATCAATTCGGAAGCTCGGATCGAATTGGAACGTGCGTCGTATCGATTCACATCGACATGGAGTCGGAATCGAATCGAACAGGCCACGCCAGGGTGAGCAACAGCGCCATGCAAGCATCGGGCTGGCCAGAATCGATGTCGAACGAGATCGATTGGATCGAAACGGGACCTGAAAAGGGTACATTCTGGGGCCATCTGCGTCCCGTGCGCTCGAGGCGCACTCCTGCAAGCGTCCTCAAATCCGAGCTCAGAAGAAATTCCCATTCCACCGTGTCTGGCGTTTCAAACTGCCGATCGCCCCAACATTCGCAGGTCCGTGAACAAAAGAACATGCACAGAGGAGGGAGTGTGTAGGAGGAGGACGAGGAGGAACATCGGAGGGAAACTGATCATGGATCTGTCGGGGCCTTCCCTTTGGACCTCTGGGAACCCTCATGGGGTCCTGCTGGGCCGTCTCGGGTCCTCTTGGGGGTCGTTGACCACTGGGGCCGTTGGGGGGGTGGGCTCTGTCGGGGTGACTCGCGCCATCTGAGGGGTCGCTGGGGGGGCACTCGGGGCCCTTCGGGGGCCATCTTGGGCGAGCTTCGAGCATCCTGGCGGATCCGACCCAGACGACTCGAGGTTTGAGCAATTCGAGATTATCGATTTTCTGACGATTTCCGTCGGCTCCCTGGAGTTTTCCTGCCTCGGGATGCATTCCGACAGCTGCGCCTTGCCAAAAGCGTTCCTGTGGTGCCCGCTTCCTCCCAAACGGCCGCTGGAGGCCCGAAGTATGACCCGAAAGCTGAAGTCTTGGGTCCCGTATGTGGCCGTCTTTGGGGGCCCTCCTGGGCTGTTCAGGAGCGTCGCAAGGTCTGGAGAATCCCCCGTACGATAAGATCACGTCACAACCGAGGCATGCAAGAGAAGGCCGCATTGACTGGGATGCTGCCACACCCCCTCAGGTAACTCTGGAAGCCCTCGTGGGGCCCTCTGAGGCCACCTTGGAACCATCGGGAGACTGTGTTGGACTCTTGGAAACTTCCGAGGACTCGGGGGCCTCTGGATCCATTCGGGGGCCCTGTTGCGGGTCGCCTGGGCCGATCCGAGGCCGTCGAAACGGCGTCGCGGACGCCTCCATGGCTGCCGTTGAACAGTCTCTGGGGGACGGGGTCGGTTTGGACCTGTCGCGCTGCTCGCCTGACTCGCACGCGCTGTATATGGAATTGAAGAGCAGATGACATTGGGCTTCAACTTCGCATTCCACATCTCGCCGAGCAGCGACAGAGCTTGTTGCCACTGCTTGCCCTTCTCGCATGCGCTCACCGCAGAGCTGTAGCTGATGACGTCTGGCTCCAATGTTGCATCCCACATCTCGGCAAGCAGCGTCAGTGCCTGCTGCCACTGCCCTCCCTTCTCGCAAGCGCTCACCCCAGCGCTGTAACTGATGACGTCCGGCTCCAGCCTCACACCCCACATCTCGGCGAGCAGCGACAGGGCGTGCTGCCATTGCCCTCCCCTCTCGCAGGCGCTGATGCCTGCGTTGTAGCTGATGGCGTCTGGCTCCAGGTCGAAATCCGAGGCCTCGCCGAGCAGCGCAAGTGCCTGCTCCCACCGCCCGCCCTTCCTGCAGGCGTTGATCCCGGCGAAGTAACACCTGACGTCGGGGTCCAGCTTCGCACCCCGCATCCCGCGGAGCAGCGGCAAGATCTGCTGCCACTGCCCGCCCCTGCTGCAAGCGTTGACGCAGGCGTGGCAGCCGACGACGTCCGGCTCCAGCCTCTCCGCCCGGGCCTCGTGGAGTAGCGCCAGCACATGCTGCCACTGCCTACCTTGCCCAAGGAGAGGGGAGGAGGCGGAGGCGGAGGCGGAGGCGGAGGCGGAGGAGGAGGAGGAGGAGGAGGAGGAGGAGGAGGCGGAGGCGGAGGAGGAGGAGGAGGCAGGGGAGGTGGAAGGCAAGGAGGAGGAGGAACGGATGGAGGAGAAGGAGGAGCGTGAGAACGACGGAGACAAGGAGGCCCTGGGGAGGGACTTTTTTCGGAGCAGCTAGCTCAAGCCTTGAGCACAGCCTGGCAGACGACAAGGGATACAAGGAGAAGGAGGATACGAACGAGAAGGAGGCGGGTGAGGAGGACGAGGAGAGGAACGAGAAAAACTGAGGATATGTGAACGAGGAGGTGGAGGAGGAGGAGGAGGAGGAGGAGGAGGAGGAGGAGGAGGAGGAGGCCGAGGGGGGCGACGACTGGGAGGAAAAGGCAACGATGAGGACGAGGAGGACGAGGGGGGGAACGAGAAACACGAATGATAGGAGAACGAGGAGGAGGATGAGGAGGCCGAGGGGGGGACGACGACTGGGACCGGGAGGAGAAAGGGGGAACGCCGAGGAAGAGGAGGACGGCGACGAGGAGGCCACGGACAGCGCCCTCTTCCAGGGGCGGCCCCAGCGCAGAGGCCGCGGCCTGCCCGCGGTGCCTCGGGCGAGGCGCCCCTCGCGGGAGATGGCCGTGGCGCCGCGGCCCGAGCGCGCCGCGCACCCGCGCGCCCCGAGGGCAGCTCGGGGCACCGGCGGGGCGTCCGCCCGTGGGCGCCTCGCCCTCGGCCCCCCGGTGGCAGCACAGGGCACGTGCCGGCAGTCTCGCCTCGGCTCGCCGAGCGGCCCGCGGAGCTGGCCGGGCGCCTGCCGAGAGGCCGCGCTCCGCAGGAGGAGGGTGGCCCAAGTCCCGCCCCGCCCCTCCTCCTCCTCCTCCTCCTCCTCCTCCTCCTCCTCCTCCTCCTCCTCCTCCTCCTCCTCGGGTCGCCCGTCGCCCGTCGCACGTCGTCGTACCCGAGGGCCCCCACCTCCTCCTTCCGCTCCCCAGGGAGGGGGCGGACAGAGGGGGGGCAAGGGAACGACTTCAGGAACTCGGAGCTCGGACGTCCGCGAAGAGACGCCAGGGGGGCATCGTTGCCAGGGGTGTGCGCTGCGCTGAAGACGCCCTGCAGACCGAAGCCGCCCACGTGGAGTGGCCTGGGTGAGGAAAAACAAGGGCAGGTTGCGGGTATCAAAAGCCAATGACGAAGACATTTGGCCTCCTCGCCTTGATTGCACCCGCGACAGGGGTTAAAAATCCGTCGCCCGGGACAGGAGGGACGGAAGGGGATCGGACGGAGCGAGGACTGGAGGGAGGGCAGGGGAAGAGCGAGAGGAGGGGCATCGGGAGGACAGCAAGTACAATCGACCCGTAGAATCAGGACGCACGATAGAGATGCAAGGGCCTTGGAAAGCCATGCCAGCGAAAGCGGCCAAGGATGAGCCGAAGGGAGGAGGATGCAAGGGTAACCTTGGAAAGTCGCTGATCCTTAATATGCGAGTTGACTGTAAGAGGAGCGGGATTGGAGTCAGAGGAGGGGCATGAGGATGATGAGGAGGGTGCTGAGGAGCGAGAGGATGAGGAGGAGGAAGGGGAGGAAGAGGAGAAGGAGGAGGCGAAAAAGGAGAAGGACGAGGAAGAGACCGAGGAGACGACGACCGGAAGGAGAGAGGAAAGGACGAGGAGGAAGATGAGGAGTAAGTGGCGGAGGAGGAGGATAAGGCGGAGGAGGAGGAGGAGGGGGATGAGGACGGGAAGGATGAGGGCGAGAAGGAGGAAGTGCCTGGTGGAGACACCCCGGAGCCGTCCAGCATCCCGAAGTCTGGTCACACCCCGGAGCCGTCCAGCATCCCATCGGATCCGCACAACGCGCCAGCGCTCTCGCGATGGGTCACAAATCGTGCCGACGCTGCTGCCACGGGTAACGGAGCCCTGTAGCCGAAACGGCTCTACGCACTCCCTCTTGCTCCTCATGCTCCTCGTCTCCCTCTGTTACCCTTCCTCCCACCTACTCGATCGTCTCCCTGCCCTCTCCTCCTCTTCCTACTCAAAATGTTCTCCTCCCTCCTCCTCCTCACCCACCTCCTCGCCGCTCTCCCTCCCCTCTCACTCCTTTCCTCCTCCTCCTCCTCCTCCTCCTCCTCCTCCTCCTCCTCCTCCTCCTCCTCCTCCTCCGCCTCCTCCTCCTCCTCCTCCTCCTCCTCCTCCTCCTCCTCCTCCTCCATCCTCCTCCTCCTCCTCCTCCTCCTCCTCCTCCTCCTCCTCCTCCTCCTCCTCCTCCTCCTCCTCCTCCTCCTCCTCCTCCTCCTCCTCCTCCTCCTCTCCTCCTGCTCCTCTTATTCCTCCTCCTTCTAGTTCCCCTCACTCCTCCTTTGCTCCCTCTCTTCCCCTTCTGTTGACATTCCTCTCTGAACTCTCCCGGGTCACAAGCAAGTTTGACCACGGCCAGAAGAAGATGAAAGAAAACGGTCCTTGAGAGCCAAAGGGGTACCAAAACGAAAAGCAGGTGCGCGAAGAGAAGGGGTACAACGACCAGGAAAACGAGAAGGACTCCTGGAGGAGAAAGAGGAGGATTAGTATGGAGGAGCATGAGTAGTAGGAGGGCGAAGCACAGGGGAAAAAATCAGAAGATGGCGAAGGGAGATAGAGGGGGCCAGAAAATTGCGCAGCAACAGGATGGACATCGGTGCCGCTACTTCCCAGACCTCTCCTAGGGAGCGCTCTGACCAGAACTTCGAGGCGAATCCAGCAGTGGCGACGGGGGCTTCCCAGGAGGCCCAAAGTGCGGGGACCGAAAGCGACCATAACCACATCGAGGACACACTCTGGGAGATGTCTTGCGCATGCCAAACATTGTCGGAACACCGAAACCAACTTCGTACTGGTTGTGGTCGACGTGGCGTCTCAGGACGGCCAAATCGACCACAACCACAAACACAGTGCTCATGTCGAGGTAAGCGGGTTCCCACGAGGGGCCCTCCCGATATAAATCCACTTCATAGTGGTTGTGGTTCTTTGTTCTGCCCGGAAAACGGACGCAAGCGAGGCAACCCGGACATCCGACTCTGTTTTCTGTTGCGTATCAGCCGGCGCTCCCGAGGTCCCGACCAACTCCCTTGGCGCAATGTCTTGTCCCCGCTCCGTCCTGAGTGGCCCCGGGGCCCAACACAGGACGAAACCAGGACGAGGAAACCATCGGGAAAGAATGCATGCAGAATCTCTGAGATCTGGCAGCTCTGGAGGAAGTATCGGGCCCCGCGGCCTTCTGAGAGCGCTCCGGAATGCTCTGAGGCCTTCGCAGAGCGCTCCCTCCGGAATGCTCTGAGAGCTTTCTGGAACGTTCTGGAACGGACGTTCGTCCTAGCCCCGTCCGAAATTCACAGGCTCCGGAGGCCGAAATCGTGGAGAAACTCCTGGATCGATTCGTCCCTGATCTGTTTTTGACCAGCCCAGGAGGTCGAAATCGATAGGAAAATCCAGTCGGGCGTTGGCAGGACTGGGTTTCGGGGGGCACTGGTGGTTTAGTGATGCGTGCTAGGAACGCCTCCCCGAACCCATCCCACTAATCGGAACTGCCTTCACCCGAAGAAATGCCAGCTACTGAATGCTTCTGGACAAATTTTGTTGGCTTCAACGCCAAATCGCTAACTGGCTCCCCTTACCTATCCGGGGTCATGGCTCTGTCCGATCCAGGATAGGAAACATCACATCGCTGAACATCCGGGCAGTCGGGGTCGGGCGTTAATCAGTGGGCGGGCGACTCATGGGATGGGAGAGACAGAGAGAGAGGGATAGAGAGAGAGAGAGAGACAGAGAGAAAGAGAGAGAGAGAGAGAAGGCGACGGGGGAACAAAGACACCTTTCGTGCCCTTTTTTGGCCCCTGTAGGGGCCCCTGTGGGCCCATCTCAGGGCACGAAGCATGGTGCACCTGCCTTCACCCCCCGCCAGTTGTTCCTCGCACGCCCACTACTCGACGCCCGAGGCGGCGAGGCACCCAGACCCCCGACGTCGTGAACTTTGTCCATGACGTCGACCCCCAAACAAAGGCCCCGACCCCTTCCCCAGGACCAGCTCTTCATGCTGAGCCGCCGCTCGACGGCCCTGGGGCCCGGCAGGCCAGGGTCCCCCGAGGCCGAACATGTGTAGTGAGAGACCTCCCGGCGCGATCGAGTATTGCGACGCGCGGAGGTCTGGGTTGTTACTCGATGGCCGTGGGGCCGAGGCAGGGCGCAGGCCGGGCGAGGGGGGCCGGCGCGGGGCCCTCCTGCGGCGGGGCCGCCGCGGCGTGGGTCGGCTGGCCGGCCCTGCCCGCCAGCATGGCCGCGCCCACGACGGCGGGCGGCGAAGGCGCCTGACAGCGCAGAAGAGCTCCTTCTCCTCCTCCTGCTCCTCCTCCTCTTCCTCCTCCTCCTCCTCCTCCTTCTCCTGCACCTCCTCCTCATCCTTCTCCATCTCCTCCTCTTTCTCCTCCTCCTCCTCCTCCTCCTCCTCCTCCTCCTCCTCCTCCTCCTTATCATCCTAAGCGTCGGCTCTGCAGGGCTGACAGCACATCCCTCCACCGTACCCTAATTTAGCCCCTTACTACTACCTCTTCGGCGCTCGCAGCGTGTCTCTCCTGGAATCTGACCTGATGGAGTTGAGGGCCCACAGTGACAAGTGCAGCCTCGGCCATCCGCAGGATGTCTACGGCGCTGGAGGGGGCCACCAAAAAGCACACTCTCAGCATCCTTCAATTCAATCCTATGTATGCTAGCACTTCCGATCGCATTCAGGACATCGCAGATCTTTCTCGGAATTTCGATGTTACATATCTCACTGGAACGGGATTGCGACGATAT